TCCTCTAAATTCCTATCTTTTTACTATACCTTTAATTTAATGTGTTTTCATTGTTCCCCCTTTTCCCCCCAAGTCAATATAGTCTTCATGAATGGGTTTTCTCCAGGTGTTCTGGTTTTGTCCCACAATCTGAATTTTTCAGGTTATGAAAAAACCTCACATTATTCTCGCCTTTATTTGAATGTCTTTCCTATATTTCTCATTTTCATGACAATAAAGGCGCATTTCCACTACACGGCCTCGCTCGGCCTCGCTCGGTATGGTAGGGCTCGTTAGGACGGGCTCACTTTATGGCGCATTGCCATTACAGTTTAGTACCAGGGGTAGCAACTATAGTAACGCAGTGTAGGCGGAGCCGTGACGTCATCTTCAATGAGAACCCCAGAAAAACAACACAGCCGTTAGCTGTTAGCACTCAGAGCTCACAGCTCCTCATATATGTTCAGAAACTAGACAAAAGTTAAACAAGTACAAACCACAGATTGCCTGTGTCATGGCGAATACAGTCGCTGCTTTATTTATGTCTGTATAGGCCGTTGTTGTGAGTGTGGACGGTCGGAGCATATACTGCGTTAGCTTAGCCAATCTCCATTTAGAAAACACGCATTTTAAAAGGTTTTTCGCCTGCCGTCTGTCTGCAGACTTGTCAAAGCATTAATTCATGGTTTTTACTAACCGGTATCAGTATGTTGTTACTTCGGCATCATTTTGAAACGTGTATTACAATTAAATCACGGTCAAATATGTCCATCTTGTTGTAGTTGTAGCCCCCTTACCAGCGATTCTCTCTCTAGTTTAGCATACTCAGCCCGACTCAGCCTCGTTGTCTCTGGCCCTAGACCCACGATTTTATGAGGCCAGAAAAACTGTGAATTAGGACCCGCCGGCCGGTACTAGGCCAAGTGGAAACGCAACCAAAAACGGGCCGCTGACGTCACAGCCCTCTTAAACCGTGCTCCGCACTGTAGTGGAAACGCGCCATAACAGCACCAGGAGATCATGAGGCTGCTGCTCAGGAGGCCTCAAAGGGCCAATCTACAACCCCTCTACTGCTGTTGCAACTCAATCTATATTTCCCTTATTTCCTCTCTTCCTTTATCTCTTTTTGTATTTCTTTGTTTTTGTGTTTGTTTTTTAATTCTCTGTCAAAGCGTCTTTGAGTTTCTTGAAAAGCGCTATACAAGTCCCATGTATTATTATTATTATTATTATTATTATTAATGTGTTCAAATATCTATGTATCTTTTTATATGACACGGTACTATTTAAAACTGATGCCACACAGACAGGTTCTGGTTCAGGTCAGATCTTTCTGTTGGAGATCAGATAGTCTCCATGTGTGAGTTTACTCTAATTAGGTTTATTGGCGAAATATCATACAAATAAACACTAATATAACATTTATGAACTTTCATTTTTTATTAAGCACTGCACAAATCAAGGTGTGCTCAATCACACACATATGGGATGTTGCAGAGGGAGGGCTTGTGGCTCCATTAAAATGCCTTAAAGAAGAAGTTTGGCAAAGTATGGTGCCATCAATTTACAGCAACTTCCAGTTGCCAGTACGACTTTGGGTTAATGTGTCTTTTTGAATGGCGTCAGGACCGAACACTTTTCGTGTTCTTCAAATTTCGTGTTCTTAAAATGTCATGTTCTTAACATGTCATGTTCTTAACATTTCGAGCAGTTCAGGCGGTGTTAACTGGAGTTTCAACAACTTCCTTTTTCCTGGGGAAATAGCGCCAAAATAACCGCCACGCCACAGCAAGGTCACTTCACGAAAACTCAAGATTTTGATAACTTGTCATCCTCAAAGCCTTGAGACGGTCCAGACCAAATTTGAATTCGATCAGACCCCAAACCTCCCCGAACAGCATTGTTTCTCTCTCGATTGAGACCAAAAACGTATAAAGAAAATGTTTGCTGCAAGTGATACTGAGTTAATGAAGTTGTAATGGCAATTTTAATGTTCCAATGTCCTATATCCTTTTGCCATTACTTCACAGGATGGTTTAGAGTGATCCTGACGCAGACACAAACAGATGAATTTCCGGTCTTTTGCTGCAGTTTAGAATGATGTTTTATTGCTTTACATACCAAGGTTTAAGTATACTGTGTCAATAGTTGTGGTAGGAGCATCTGCCGGGGCTGGCCGGGCTGGTAGAATCGGTATGCTCTTCCTCCTGTGTCCTCGTCCTCTCCTGTCACCTAGGACCCCTTTTATACACCTGGTGTAGCTAAACCCCGCCACCAAGTGTTCAAAAATAATATTGCACTATACATATAAATTAAAGTAAACTGAGACACCAACAACACCCATAAAATGGCTCCTACAGAAGTGATAAGAAGACTATTTTCTCGTTAACTTCTATAAAACCTGATATGTTCAACCAGAGGAGACGCCCCCTGTTGGATATTAGAGAGAATGCAAGTGTAAGGCACTTGCAGGGATAGAACAGAAAGATAATGATTCACTGCATAAACACATATCAAAATAATCCGTAACATTCACACCCTTCTTCGCCAGCTCCTGCTCGATCCGAAATAGAGGATAGAAAATAAAGAAATTAAAAGCAAAGCCCACAATAGGATTTGTTTTTCAAGAAAATGTGCAACAAATTCAGGAAAATAATAATTAAATACATCTTTAACTTTAAAGGGGACCTATTATGCTATATTTGAAAAATATATTGTAGGGCCATACCTATACAAAACATGTCTGTGAAGTTTTTTGCTTAAAGGTCCCATGTCATGCTTTTCCGGTTATTACCCGTCCCCTTGTGTGTTATGAAGGTTTTTATGCATGTAAACGGTCTGCAAAGTCACAAACCCTCAAAGTACACCCTGTAGCGAGTAAAACTCTAACACAGACAATACGTGTCTATGCTGCCCCAAAACGCCTCGTTGGAGATTTTCTTTTTCAATTTTTTTCTTCCGGGAACCAAGTGACGTAACGACGACCCCTCCGTGGATTGGACCTCTTTGGACCTCTGTCGCCTGTCAGCGCAACTTACATAATGCCGTTTAAAACATATAATAATGGGCGGTGCCGGCCGTCAGCGAACCGAGCCGGCCTTTCTCCGCAGAAAAGCGTTTTGGCCAATCAAAATTAAATATGCGGGACATCGTCTCAATTTGCGGGACGCACCAAAAGTCGTGAAAATGCTGTGCAGTCCCGCGCAAAGCGGGACATCTGGTCACCCTACCCCCGGGGTCTAGACACTGGTGATGATGCTGAAGATCTGGATTTGATGAGGAGATGGGATGAAGAGGGGATGTGATGAGGTCTTTGGATTAGCTCTCCTGACACTGGATGTGATGAAAGGAGGTGGATGGGGAGGAGGCGGGCGGCAGCATGAACACCTGAAATCACAGCTGACTGCAGGAGAGAGGAGAACCATTTTAAAGTTTGGCTGCAGCACGATGATTGGCTGCTGAGATTGAGGTGAATGTAATAGGTTAGCAGGAAGCCCGTGATGAGCTGATTAAGCAGCTGTGGAATGAATGTATAGGCCTACCAGTCTTCCTGAAAGAACTTGCGCTGAGCTTCATTTGTCAGCAAGGTTAAACGGTTTACTTTGAAAAACAACATAGCTGCAATGTATCCCTATTGTTCTTAACTTCGGGGTTTATTAAGATATAATAAGGAAGTAAGTATGTTCTAGGACAAAGCTCAAGTTTGTCTAATCTGTTCTTTACCAAAGAAATACTAGATAGTTCCACATGGTTGATTCTGAGGAGGAAACATCTCTCTTAGAGGTATGCAAACTATGAGAAGGCTAAGATGGTAACAAATAAACATAGCTTTGCTTTAGGATTATAAAGGTTGGGAGGGGTTTTCATGTGGGAGATTGACGTGATGTAAGATTATATGTCAGATGTATTCAGAAACAACAACAACAACCTCATCAAACAGGACGTTTTGTTTATTTGGATTGGTTCCCAGGGCTGAATGCAATGAAAGAAATGTGATACATTAAATTGAACTATCCTATTTACGAAATTACTTTAATTAGCCTCATACAATATGAATCCAATTTGTGGATTCCTCAGCGCAGAGTCACAGGTGACTTTCACTCACACCCTCATGATTTCCTCTCTTGTGCGTCCTCGCCTATGAAATTACCTTTTTCTGCCTTATCTCCCCCAATCGGTTTCCTTCTGTTATGGGATCTTTATCTCCCTCCTCTCTGCTTGCAACATTGTTCCAATGTTTTAGGGTGTGTTGTTTCTTCCTGCTATCTCAGAAAACCTCTGCAAATACCTGCCACATGAGAGCATTTTCTGCCAGACATGAATGCAGGTCATCATCTAGATGCAGGTTGTGGGATGAATACAAAACAAACACATCAAACTGAGTATGACAGGGAACAAGTAGGGGACTACAAACTACAAAAGCACTTTTGATAAAAGAGAGACAGAGACATATAGAAAGGTATTTTTATTTCAGTTGACACAAAGGTGTATCTGTTCTTTAACTGTAGGGATGCAAGTATACAAACTTCAAATTGTGTCCTCGGTGTGACACATTTTTTATATCCTTCTAATATAATAAGAGAATGCACTTTATTGACAAATGTATGTGAACACTTTTTTTTCTGTTTTTCATTGTTAAATGGTTAGTTTAAATCAAGCACAGTCTTAAAACTTGATACAATGATATTTTAAATAATTGTGGTTACACATTTGGGAAAGGCCCATTTCTGTTTCAACACGACAATCCCCCAATGGACATAGTCAGGTCCATAAAGAACGTTTTTTTTTAGATTATTGTTGTGGTAGAAAACAACCAGCTTGCTCAGAATTCTTGAATGAAAAGGAGAGAGAAAGTGACATGGACAAACACATACTGATAAAGTTGAAGGACTGAGACAGTTACCGAGTGAGGGTGGATTGTTTCCTTCAGAAAATATGCTGCAAGGCTGCGAGCAGAGATCCAGATTTACTTGTCTAACTGGAAAGGCCGGAGGGGGTGTGGGCTGCCTCTGAGAGTGTGACAGGTGTGGTGAGAGACGGACAAAAAACAGATACAGCCGCACACACGGCTGTAAGAGACGGAGAGGAAATAATACTGGAATATAAAACTCTACAGGTGGAGATAAAGCATCCAGTGCTGACCGTGAGTATAAGCTTCATTACATGTTACTAATAGTTTCATTAAAAACTATTAAGAGTGACGTGTGTAAAAATGGGTGTGGGTGTGTGTGAGAGGGAAAGAATGAGGTTGCAAATAGTCATAATTAAACAGGAATGTTACTTCCCAGGCACAAATAGTTTTTTAATGTCTGGATTGTTTTTGCATTGTCAGGGACTGAGGCAAACCATTTTGTGCATCCACTGGAGGACATACACAGAGAGAGGAAGAAAGATGGCCGAGTCCCCGAAGATTGAACTCTTCGTTAAGGTAAGACCTACTTGTGATGTGTTGTGATTAAAAATAATCCTGATTAAACACAACAGATATGGATACAATTGTGTAAATGCCCTACCTCTGTATGTACTACATATTAGTTGACAACAAACATCTAGTAAGCCTTCAGTTTCTTTTTGAAATGATATGACCATGCCATTGTTTCCCTTTTCTGTATTTCATCTCACACTGTTCCTTTGGTAGCCTTAAATCTCAAATAAGATGAAATAAAAGATTATAAAAAGACAATTTCCAGATATCAAAGTGCCTGCTTCAGTATTCTTTAGTCAGTCTATTACTTCATTTGTGTTATTTTTGTATTAGCTCATAAATGTATGGGACTTTCGAACATGTTTCTTTAGCATGTCAATATAGTTTTGGTGCAAGGACTTTCTAATATAATGATTCTTTATGAACGTTGCAATGCATTGAATGGTAAATGATGTACAGTTGAAATGATACTGTTCCACTCTCTATTTTGTGATGGACTCTTGTAACTGAGTTGAGGTTATCTTTCAGTGGTTTTTTGAGATATTATCAATGTGTGCATTTATGGTGAACAGTAGAAACTGAAAAAGAGACCTGTCCAGTTTGGAAACCTGTGTCCTGCCCTTTCAAAAATGTGTTTGCCTCCATGAACGCCTGTGACTCAATGATGACATGCTGTAGTGAAATGCATGACACACCAAACATTATCTAAAAACTGGGCTGTTTCATTTGGGTGTAAAGCAGTGTCAACTCTCCACTTAAAATTCCTCAACGATCAGGAAGACTTTATCTGGTCAGATACGTTGCAGCACTGATACTGAAAACAACATACCAGTGTCCCATTTCAAGAACATGTTTACTCCTATTGTTATAAGGTGTGACAATACAGGTAAAACATTGTTTACTTCCCATGAACTAGTCAAATGTGAGAGTTTGGGCTTCAATAGAAGGCCTTCTTTCAGACTTGTGGAAAGAAAACATCCAAAATTCACAATTGTGTTTATTTTACTTTTACTTTTACGTCTGTAGATTCCCAATAAATTCACCAAAAGTTAGCATTAGTTAATGCCTCACTTGCATATTTAAACATAACATTTCAACTTTTATTACAAAACATTATTTTCTTATAAACTAGGGAAGTTTCATAGTAATATCTCTTACTTTTTTGTTTACTATATTAACCTGTAGCATCTTGCATAAAGTATGCATTTTCCAATACATTTCTTTCGAGGCAGTTTTTCTCATTTTAATTCATACTCTGATATCAGTTATTTGTCTTGCATGTGTTCTTAATGTTGTGTCTTTGTGTCGGTCAGGCCAGTGTTGATGCTGAGAGTGTGGGGAACTGTCCTTTCTCCCAGAGACTCTTCATGATTCTTTGGTTGAAAGGGGCCAACTTTACCCTTACCACTGTGGACATGAAGAGGTGAGAACACTCCTTATTGTTGTTTCCTAAAGTTACTGGTCATGTCTTCAAGACTGACTTAACGGATTAACACGTACAACTTGCAGTACAATGAAAAATATGATGTTTAGGTTTTTTGCTCTTTTCTGTACTTCAATATTTTATGAAGTCATCCCTCTATCCAAAGTGTGGACAGGGTTGCAGAGGGAATGTAGCCTGTGTTAGCACACAAGGGAAAATAGTAAGAGTTTTAGGAGGAAACGGCCGTACCTCACATGAAGAAAGTTAAAAAACAGACACAAATAAATCAATGGCCAACAAGATCAAACCCAGGACCAACCTACAAAGTAGGAAACAAATAATTAAGATCTCCTCACACAGAAAAAGTTTGAAGCAAAACTCAAAGCTGTTAATTATCTATTGATGTCCTGAGATGGTCAGACAGCACTTTTTAATGAGTCCTGAAACACAAATAGAAATTTAAAGTAAAGTGGAAGAAATCCAGTTGAAGCAATTACTAATTTGGCATAGTTTTTATTTGAGCTACATCTTGTTTGCTGTTCTGTTGCAGGGCCCCTGCTGTGCTGAAGGCTCTGGCTCCGGGCTCTCAGCCCCCCTTCCTCATCTTCAACGATGAAGTCAAAACGGACACTAACAAGATTGAGGAGTTCCTGGAGGAAAACCTAGCCCCACCTGAGTGAGTAGATAAAAGAATAATAAAATCATTTTTAAATAAGTATTTTTCACTTTTTCTTAACCGACCAATGACTTCAGATGAATATTTATAAAAATATAAACAATGTAAAATACAAAGAAAAAAGAAATACATTAATACTAAAAACACAAAAACGTTTTGAATAAATACATGTTTTATTCTCCCAATGGCAGGTATCCAAAATTGTGCTGTCGATACAAAGAGTCCAACGGTGCTGGAGATGACATCTTCCGAAAATTCTCAGGCTACATTAAGAATCCCAATTCTGGAATAAATACCAGTGAGGGCATCATCTGGATACTTCAAAAAAAAATTACTGTAATTTCTGGATACTGCTGATAACAAAAGCCTGTGATACCTTTCTGTCTTTCAGTGCTGGAGACTAAATTCCTGTCCACCCTGGTGAAGCTGAACATGTACCTGGAGACGCCCCTCCCTCACGAGCTGGACCAGAACCCCAACGCCACCCAGTCGACACGCCTCTACCTGGACGGGGAATCTCTCACCTTGGCAGACTGCAACCTGCTTCCCAAACTCAACATTGTCAAGGTAAACAGACTTCAGCAGCACGACAACAAGTGGTTGAATATAAGTACATTTACTCAAGTACTCTGATAAAGTACAAATGAGAGGAATTTGTACTTTATTTGATTATTTTCACTTTATGGAACATTATATCTTTTATTCAACTTTTTGTCTACTTGCATATTTAGATTATTCATACATAATATGAATCCACAAATCAATTATGAAATATAATTTTAAGTAAAGCTACGTAGATGTTTATAAAGTAATACACATTTTTTTTTGCATCACTTACAATAATGTATTATTTATGATTCTGCAAAAAGTACGTTTACTTTTGGTACTTTAAGTATATTTTGATGTTAATACATTTGTACTTTTACTTGAGTAAAAATTTGAATACAGGAATTTTGCCTATAACTAAATATTTGTACACTATAAAATTGCAACTTTTAGCTAAGTAAAATAGTTCTTCTTCCACTGATACATTTGTTTCCTTCATTGGTACAGAAATCCAAAAATAATTCTGTAGTAAAAATGTGTAATAATAACGTAAAGTAATGTGTAACTAATTCAATTCTCCTGATATCTTATTGCATATAATACCATCTTAAAACCTCTCTTTCTGCAGGTGGTGTGTAAGCAGTACCGCGACTTTGACATCCCTAAAGAACTGAAAGGTCTGACACGTTACCTGGATAATGCCTACAAACAAGATCAGTTTCGTTACACCTGCCCGAATGCTTCAGAGATCCTTATTGCCTACCACTCTGTGGCAAAGTACCTGAACAAATAAATCACAGGAACAGATGAAGCAGTGTAAGTCATAAAATAATAAAATGAGAAATACAGAGAACAACAGGTGACTAAATGCATGGAAACTGAACATGATTTATGTTTTATTTGTCTGAAAATAAGATTTTTGATAATGAAATGGGTCTGCATTGGCATATAGCTTTCTAGAAAACGGTTGTTTTTATCAATTAGGTTTGCCAACTGCTACTTCAAAGTTGCTTAAAATCTGTATTTGTATATACTATATGTTATGTTGCATGCTGTGGTTATATTGTTGTGTATTTCTTATTCAGCCCCAGCAAGAGAAGTAAGAAAGCACTGTAAATCCAAGGAAATATGTATATTGTTTGTCATTTTGCATGCATGTATTGTTTCTGTATTGTTTCATTACCACAATGTTGATTTAAATGAATGAATTACATTCTAACGTGAAATCAGATGTAACTTTAAAGCAATTATTTTATGTTCAGGAATAGTACATGTGCAAACATGGAATACACATTTTGTCTGTAGATATGGCAGACAGTAAGCTATGGTTTGCTTTTAAATTGTCTTTTAATGGTACGTTTTTCAACTCACACAGACATTCTTTTCTCTCAATAAATTATTTGTTACCATCGCTAATGAATTTTTGTGTTTGAAAATGACTGTGTATGTCTTAGTAGTGACTCTGTTATGTTGAACTTTGCCAAAAATGTATAAAAAGAATGAAGACCGGGTAAAGAAAAAGAAAAAACCCTATTGATAAAGATGTCCTTTACAAGATGTTGTAAACAAGTTTGGTGTTGGTTGTAGGAATATTGGGTGAGTTTGCAATAATGTGTAATTAAATGTGTAAACAATGTACCTGTAAATGCCAGAAAAACAATAGCTGCTAAATGTATGAAGTGTAAAAACCACGCTTCTCCAGATGTGTTGCTTTCAAATGTTCCTTTGTTGACAACATTCTCTTGCTTCTTAAGCTAAATAAACACATTTTAAACCTTGAGTCACCTCGTAAATGAATCACCACAAAGCTGAAAACATAGGAAATATACAAGGTTGCAACATTAAAGGGACAAAGCATCTGATGATTTTATAGAATATGATGCATTTCTGTAGATTAAACCACCCAACAGTAAAATTGTTTTTACTAGAACGACCCTACATATGTGCACCAATCATAAGCAACATACACATTATGCAGCCAAAAACCGACATCATATAAAATAGTTAAACAATGACAGGTTAAGATGTATTGCACAACTGACATACTTAAAATACAATAATAATCCTCACATAGTTTTACTTAAGTAAGGTTTTGAATGAAATATCTTTACTTTTAATGGAATATTTTCACAGAGCAGTATTAGTACTTTAAGTAATGTAAAGGATCTGATACTTCTTCCACCACTGAAGAACAGTACTCCAGTAAATGTTCTTGATTATGTTACACCATTTGATTGGATTAAAAGCCATAGTCTTTTGTTAAACAAAGGATACCTGCGTTTAATGTTTTAACTATAGACAAGTGTGTGCCTGCTCCGTTCCTGATTGGACAAGGGCGTTGAACGGTACCAAGGCAACAACAGACATTAAAGAAGCGATTGGTGGACGTACAGACATGGGCGGGGCTAAGCAAGTGACAGGCAGAATACAGAAAACTTTGTTAGCTAAATGCTAACTTCGCTCCATCGTCTCTTTGAAATGTTACCAGCCTGACACAGCGCCCCACGAATCCTCGAAAAGTAAGCGGAATGTTTTCTGTCCGCTTGGTATTTCTTAATGCTATCATGTTAAGTGAACTTTGGATATAATTACTGGCAATACGGGTAACTTTAGTTATCCAGCTGCTAGCTTGTGTTGTGTTAGCTTACGCCAAGCTAACGCTGGGACTGCAGCCACAACAACAGCCTCCAGTTACTTAGTTTTGGGGTTATTATATTAGCTTTTCTTTGACTTGTAACGTCATAATGACAGGAATCAAGATGATGAGGATGACTGGTGGCAAGTGCTGTTGATTCACAAATGAATGTTGCTGTTTTCATAGTTTCCCCTTTCCTCCCCAAACAACTCGTGATCTCCATTTATCCCCCTCTCTTCTGTGCGATCATACTCAAAGTAAAGCTACTCAAAGCTTCCTTATGTTTTCCTATTGTCAATGTGTATCATCATATTCTATATCAAGAGTATGCACAACTTGCTTTTATCCTTTATTTTCCTCCTATGTTTATTGTTATGGACTGAATACAAAGGCATGTCACTTGTGAAACCCTGATTTTGATTTTCACAACAGGATGGATTGCCAAGGACAGGATGATGGAGAATTCTGCAGATTTAAATATTTAGTAAGCAGAACAGTTTCTTTTAAAGCAAACGCTAAACAACTTGGCATAACAGTGGTGACTTTTTCTGAACAATACCTACTGTTTATTGTATTGAAATAACTGTGATAATCTAAATTATGCTTTTAGGTGAACAGCAAAACCGAAATTGGAATAAGAGTACAACGGTTTTTGGAGGAAAGGATGCAGACCACCATGGTATGAGATATCAATTCATTGTGACAGCATACAATAGGCTCTACCCCGCAAGTATAGGCACACCATGCATACTGTGTTGACGTGATTGTACACTGTTATTTCCAGTTAGCATGTATAAAAAACAATGCTATACTGTCTGTACTACTATACTTGTTTTTTACATTTATATATTCATTCTAATATTTAATATTCCATCTGTCACATACTTATGTAAATATAATACCTTGCTTTATATCTTGTTATTGTTAATTTGTAAATTCAACATGTATATTTTCTACTTTCTTATTTATTTCTTGTCTTTTAAATTGTATTGTACAATGCCATGTCTTTTTATGCTGCTGCAACACAAACATTTCCCAAATTGGGATCAATAAAGTTCTATCTTATCTTATCTTATCTTATCTAACAAACCATGACTTGCCAGTTAAACAAAAATGCATCCCTTAGTTTTTTCAACACTATAAACAAGTCCTCTTATTTCCTTTTTGCATTTAATCTTGGGACGATATTGTACCAACAGCACACTAACATCTAGTGTTTTAGTATAAATACTGTGACTTAGTTTATTTTCTAAAACATTCATACAGAAATATGCACAAACAACATGGCAAGAACATTGGGACATTAGTGATACAGGAAGACATCTTTATCAAATTCAAAGGTATGTGGGGGATGGAAGGAAGGTGGGGTTTAGAAGAAGGGAAGAAAAAGTCATTTCTCAGATGAGAATAGGTCATAAAGGTCTCAATCATACTTTAAGTATAACAGGAAAGCATCCAACCGGAAAATCTATACACTGTAGCCAGCCAGAAACTGTCGAACATGTTTTACTGCATTGCAGGAAATATAGTACTCAGAGGAATGTGCTTTTCCAGATACTGAAGAAAGCAAAATATCATGACTTTTCGCTAGCAGGGCTGTTAGGGGAAAACATCAGGCAATATGTATTGTGAGATTATTAAGTTTCTAAGAGAAATTGATACATTTAAAAATAATCTAGAGGTTTAGTTATTTTTTCTTTTCTTTTCTTTATTAATTTCTGCAGTCTCTTGTCCACACTCCAGTCCAGTTGGTGGCGGTAATGCACCTACAAGTTGGTTTGCCAACCGCCAATAAACACCAAAGAAGAAGAAGTTTATTTTCTAGTGTGAATGCACTACATACTTAACCAGCTTCAAATGTGTACGTGGTCTTTAACTAGGACACCACTTAAGATGTGCGATTCTGAGGGCAGCTACACTATAACACCCTCTCCTGTGTCCATACTATTTTGACAAAGCTTCCTGTCTCTATCTTCTAGCTTACAGGTGTGCTGATTGGAGCGGCAGTCGCTGTCTCACTCATCGGGATTGTGGTGCTCTTCCTCTACAGGAGATTCAAGCTCGCTCGTGAGTCATCCAACCTCTACCCTAACTTTATCTCAATGCTATAGTTCATGTTTATTTGGGTTCCTTAAATGATATGGCTGTTCAGGAAAGTCTATTTTGTTTTCAGTCTTCTACAGATTGTTGTTTTTAATATTCCATCCCTCACATACTTGCATATATAATAACTTGCTTAATATTTTGTTAATTTGTAAATTCAACATGTATATTTTCTACTTTTTTGTTTATTTCTAGTCTTTTTAATTGTTATTGTACAATGCCATGTCTTGTATGCTGCTGGAACACAAACATTTCCCAAATTGGGATCAATAAAGTACTATCTTATTTTAACATGGATGTTTTTGTGATTTGTTTTATAAGGTGCAAAACAGCCTGGTGTACCACAGTATCGCTTCAGGAAACGAGATAAAGTGCTCTTCTATGGACGGAAGATAATGCGAAAGGTTTGTACAATTTGTAATTTGCACATTTTCCCTTCATCAAACTGTAATGTAAGCCCATTCCCCAAAGACTGAGTGTTTGTATCTTGTTACACCACTGCATGAAACCTACTCCACTGGTTATAATAACACCAAGGCTCCATTAGCTTATCACTGTAATGTACTCTGATACCGTTAGACTGAAATTCACCAATGCATTTACCTTAGTGATTAATGCAGGTCCTCATAATGCTATTAATTCCCAGCAATTTGCGATTGTTTTCACCACCTATGTCTATTTATTTGGGCTACATCATATGTCATATCAAATGTATTTGTCTGTCCAAAGTAAAAAATGAGGAGTCATTAAAAACATGGATGTTGTATTTTTTTTTTTTAAGGTCCAGACGCTGTCAGCGGTTCCTCCTCCCAGCTCTACCTCAGTATCTAAGCAACCGCAGCGCATTCGCAAAAGAACCAAAGTTTTAAGCATAGCTCGCAAGTATGATCCATTCATACTTTTCTAAATGAGTGTGCATAAGTGAAAAGTAATTGTTCAAATGAGCTTTTGACCTGTTCATTAAGATTCTTAAGAAAGAATTGTGATTTAACAGAATCCTGAGGATCAGCAAAGACCCTCCCATCCTGCAGCCCAAGGAACCGCCCCCCTCCCTGCTGGAGGCTGACCTGACAGAGTTTGATGTTCAGAGCTCAAACCTTCCCTCGGAAGTCCTCTATATGCTGAAGAATGTCAGGTAAAAAAAATAAACAATATTTCCTACAGACTTCCCTTTTTTTTCTCCAATGTGTTTTTATCATAATGTGTGTGGGCTGCAATTTGTTGTAGGGTCTTGGGTCACTTTGAGAAGCCCCTGTTCCTCGAGCTGTGTCGCCACATGGTGTTTATCGAGCTGCAGGAGGGCGAGGGTCTGTTCCGGCCAGGAGACGATGACGACAGCATCTACGTGGTACAGGACGGACGACTGGAACTCTGCATCCAGGAGACCGTATGTGGATAGAAAGCTCAATTTTACTTTATTTTCTTCTCAGAAAAACTACATTTTGAGCGGTTCTTGTGCCCTTTTACCATTTTATTAATAAGTTCTATCATATAACACCAAGCCTTTTGGTCCATTGTTAATACACAAAATTGTTATGTAGATAAACTAACAATATATGTGATAAACTAAATTAAATGTTTCATTTCAAGACCGACTTGTAGAAAACATGACACCTTTGCTATTTTTGTAACGCTGCTTTAACTGGGACAGGTCATTAGCAATCGTGCTTCTGATTGTTGTAAACACATGTGACATATGATCTTAATGAAGTGTGAAAAAAGGGCACATGCACACTTTGCTCTCTGTTATGACCGTCTTAATGTCCTCCTTAACCTTCCAATACCCACGTGCATAACTAATGAAAATATATGACCAGCAGAGGGCAGTAAACCATCATTTATCTTGATGCAGTCTACTGTTAAAGCTTCAAGAAGTAGAAAGAAATGTACAGCTCACAACACCTTGGTTAGTATTTGAATGTGCTGCTTGATTCTATCAGTATTGAAAGATCAGGAGGGCCTCCAAGTCTTTTTGTTAAAGCTCTCGCCATTGTGGCTAGGTTTACTAATCCCAAAGAATCCTTCAGATTTGTTTGAAATGT